CAAGCCAGTTCCTCTCAAAACAGGGTTCGGATGGGAAACAACAAACAGACCTGATTATTCGCCGATCCCCTCAACGATGAGGAAATATGGGAAGTGCGGGGGAAGACGAACATCGAAACAATATGAGACAATATGGGGGATCCTGGGCTGTGTGTTTGTGTATTTGTATGTTCCAGGGCCCCTTCAAGGGTTCTCGACTGAATGGCAGGCCCATGGGGTGCTGGTCTTTCAGGGGGGCGCTTCTCGTAGTGGATACACTTGCCTAGAGTAAGACCGAAACGATGTGCAGCTGCGAGTACCGCAGTCGACTCGTGAGTATCGTCTTCGGTGGAGCTCCCTTTGGCACCACGAAGCGTGCCAGGGGTGTGCCAAACATGGGGCGGCGCCGCCACGAGAACGCGGCCACTGGGGCCTTCGGTGGAGCTCCCTATGGGGCCACGAAGCGTGCTGGAGGTGTGCCAAACATGGGGCGGCGCCGCCACGCGAACCCAGCCTTTGGGGCCTTTGGCGGAGCTCCCTATGGGACCACGAAGCGTGCGAGGGGTGCCAAAATGGGGCGGCGCCGCCATGCGAACCCTGCCACTGGGGCCTTCGGTGGAGCTCCCTATGGGGCCACGGAACATGCCAGGGGTGTGCCAAAACGGTGCGGCGCCGCCGCACGAATTTTGCCATTGGGACCCTCGGTGGAGCTCCCCTTTAGAGACACGACACGTGATGTGTGTGTGTGTGTGTGTGTGTGTGTGTGTGTGTGTGTGTGTGTGTGTGTGTGTGTGTGTGTGTGTGTGTGTGTGTGTGTGTGTGTGTGTGTTTGTGTGTGTCGTGTGTGTGTAATGTGGATAGTTGTGTGTGTGTTGTGTGTGTGTGCGTGTGCGTGCGTGCGTGCGTGCGTGCGTGCGTGCAGTGCGTGCGTGCGTTTTGCGTGCGGTTTGCGTGCGTGCGTGCGTGCGTGCGTGCGTGCGTGCGTGCGTTCGTGTGTGTGTGTGTGCGCGCGCCAAACATGGGGCGGCGCCGCCACGCGAACCCAGCCTTTAGGGCCTTTGGCGGAGCTCCCTATGGGGCCACGAAGCGTGCTGGAGGTGTGCCAAACATGGGGCGGCGCCGCCACGCGAACCCAGCCTTTGGGGCCTTTGGCGGAGCTCCCTATGGGACCACGAAGCGTGCGAGGGGTGTCAAAATGGGGCGGCGCCGCCATGCGAACCCTGCCACTGGGGCCTTCGGTGGAGCTCCCTATGGGGCCACGGAACATGCCAGGGGTGTGCCAAAACGGTGCGGCGCCGCCGCACGAATTTTGCCGTTGGGACCTTCGGTGGAGTTCCCTTTTAGAGACACGAAACGTGATGTGTGTGTGTGTGTGTGTGCGTGCGTGCGTGCGTGCGTGCGTGCGTGCGTGCGTGCGTGCGTGCGTGCGTGCGTGCGTGCGTACGTACGTACGTACGTTCGTGTGTGTGTGTGTGTGTGTGTGTGTGTGTGTGTGTGTGTGTGTTCGCGCGCGCCAACATGGGACGGCGCCGCCATGCGAACCCTGCCACTAGGGCCTTCGGTGCAGCTCCCTATGTGGCCACGAAACGTGTGAGGCGTGTGCCAAAATGGAGCGCCGCCACCATGCGAACCCTGCCGCTGGGACCTTCGGCGGAGCCCCCTAAGAGGCCACGAAGCGTGCGAAGAGTATTCCACCTTGGGGCGGCGGCGCAATGCGAACCCTACCACTGGGGCCTTCGGTGGAGCTTCCTATGGAGCCACGAAGCGTGCCAGGGGTGTCAAAATGGGGCGGCGCCGCCATGCGAACTCGGCCACTGGGGCCTTCGGTGGAGCTCCCTATAGGGCCACGGAACGTGCCAGGGGTGTGCCAAAACGGGGCGGCGCCGCCGCACGAACCTTGCCATTGGGGCCTTCGGTGGAGCTCCCTACGGCCCACGACACGTAATAGGGGTGTACCAAAACATGGGACGGCGGCGCCATGCGAACCCAGCCTTTGGGGCCTTTGGCGGAGTTCCCTATGGGGCCACGAAGCGTGTGAGGGGCGTGTGTCAACATTGGGCGGCGCCGCCATGCGAACCTTGCCACTGGGACCTTCGTTGGAGCTTCCTGTGGGGCCACGAAACGTGTGAGGGGTGTGCCAGCAAGGATGCTGATGCTGCTGATGATGCTGATGATGATGACGATGGCGATGGTGTTGAGTATGATCATGATCATGATCATGATCAGCATCATGATTCGATGATAATGCTGATGATTATGATCGTTATGATGATGATGCTGAGGATGATGATGATGATGATGATGATGATGATGATGATGATGATGATGATGATGATGTTGGTGATGGTGATGGTTATGGTGACTGTGGTGGTGATGGTGGTATGATGCTGGCGACGATGACGATGTCGATGTCGATGTCGATTACGATGACGCTGACGATGACGATGACGATGAGGATACTGATGATTTCGATGATGAATTCGATGATGATGTTGATGGTGATGTTGATGGTGATGGTGATGATAGTGGATCTTGTGATGATGATGCTGATGCTTGTGCCGACTGTGATGCTTTAGCTGACGATGATGGTGCTGACGACGATGCCGATGTCGATTACTATGACGCTGACGAGGACGATGAGGATAATGCTGATTCTGATGATGGTGATGACGATGGTGATGCTGATGGTAATGATGATGGTGATGGTGATGTTGATGTTGATGGTAGTGAATATTGTGATGATGATGCCGATGCTGGTGATGACTGTAATGCCTTAGCTGATGATGATGGTGATGGCACTGATGATTATGCTGATGATGATTCTGGTGATGGTGATGTTGATGGTGATGATAGTAATGGGAATATGATTATGATGATGATGGTTGGGATGGAAATGATAGTAGTGATTGTGATAGTGGTGGTGATGGTACTGATGATGAGGCTGACGCAGATGATGATTGATGGTGGTTATGATGATGCTGACGATGCTGGTCATGGTGATGGTGATGATAATGAGGATGATGATGATGAGTATTAGGATGTTGGCGATACTAATGATGACGATGATGATGTTGATGATGATAGTGCTGCTGATGCTGAGGCCGAGGCTGAGGCTGATGCTGATGCTGATGACGATGTTGCTGCGGATGCTGATGTGGATGTTGATGTTGCTATTGATGATGACGTGGCTGCCGATGATGTTGATGCTTGTGATGATGATGCTGATCATGATGATGATGCCCATGATGATGATCGTAAGGATGATGATGATGCTGATGATGATGATTATGAGTATGATAATGGGGATGATGCTGTTGCTGTTGATGCTGATGATGCTGATGATGCTGATGCTGGTGATGGTGATGAGTATGATCATGATCATGATCATGATCATTTTCATGATTCGATGATGATGATGCTGATGATTATGATTGTGGTGATGATGATGATGATGATGATGATGATGATGTTGGTGATGGTGATGGTGACTGTGATGGTGATGGTGATGATGGTGCTGACGACGATGACGATGACGATGTCGATTACTATGACGCTGACGAGGACGATGAGGATAATGATGAGTATGATGGTGTTGATGACGATGGTGATGCTGATGGTAATGATGATGGTGATGGTGATGTTGATGTTGATGATCGTAAATATTGTGATAATGATGCTGATGCTGGTGATGACTGTGATGCTGTAGCTGATAATGATGGTGATGACGCTGATGATCATGCTGATGATGATTATGGTGATGGTGATGCTGATGGTGATGATAGTGATGGGACGATGTTTTTGATGATGGTTGTGATGGAAATGGTAAGAGTGATTGAGATCGTGATGGTGATGGTACTTTTGATGAGGATGATGCAGATGATGATTGATGGTGGTTATATGATGCTGATTATGATGTTGATGTTGATGGTGATGGTGATGATGATGCTGATGATGATGATGATGATTAGGATGATGGTGATACTAATGATAACGATGATGCTGTTGATTATGATGTTGATGATGATAGTGCTGCTAGGGCTGAGGCTGAGGCTGAGGCTGATGCTGATGCTGATGATGCTGCTGCGGATGCTGATGTGGATGTTGATGCTGCTATTGATGATGACGTGGATGTCGATGATGATGTTAATGCGTGTGATGATGGTGCTCATGATGATGATGCTCATGATGATGCTGATGATGATGATGATGATGGTAATGATGATGATTACGATGATGATGCTGATGATGCTGCTGCTGATGATGATCATGGGTATGGTAATGAAGATGATGATGATGCTGTTGATGATGATGATGCTGATGATGATGATGATGATGATTATGATGATGATGATGCTGATGCTGATGCTGATGATGATGATTGATGATTGATGATTGATGATTGATGATGATGATGATGATGATGATGATGATGATGATGATGATGATGATGATGATGATGATGATGATGATGATGATGATGATGATGATGATGATGATGATGATGATGATGATGATGATGATGATGATGATGATGATGATGATGATGATGATGATGATGATGATGATGATGATGATGATGATGATGATGATGATGATGATGATGATGATGATGATGATGATGATGATGATGATGATGATGATGATGATGATGGGCGGAGGGAGGCGGGGGAGAAAGGAGGCGGGAGGAGTAGGAGAACGCGGGGCGTTGTCTCATCAAAACGAGGACCCGACACCACAGGTTGGTTGGAAAAACATGTGTACGGCCTTCTGATAGGGGGAGGCTTGGGCCGGAGAGTGCCGCCGCCGTTCAACATTGATCGCCGCCAGCGACCCAGAATCGGGCGATGTTGAAGGATCTGACGCTTCGGAAACGGCTGATCAAGGTTGAACGACCCCCCCGGTGCCAGAAAACACGGCCGAAGTCGACACGACACGAACCTGCCTTACTCATGTTCCCCTCCTCCCCCTCCCCTCCTTCCTCTCTTTCCTCGCAGCCGCCGCGGCCGCCCCTGCGCTGGGAGGACGCGTCTGTGGGCCGCTTCGTCCTGGAGATCGGCTGGGTGTACAGGAACCGCGCCGAGGGGCTCTCTGGCGGGGCGTCGGCGGGAAGTGGGAGGTTGGAGGATCGAGGTTCGAGCATCGATCGCAGGGAAGAGCACGACATAACCTTACACTTTCGAGGCTCTTCGCGAATTTCTTGGATCGGCGCTGTGCCCCCCTGGCGGCGCCTTCGGCGCCGCCCTAGCGCGCTCCGCGCGCCAGTGAGGGGGTCCAGCGCCGATCCAAGAACTCTGCGCGGACCTCCAACAATTTATGAGTATGCAGTTTCTCCTCCTCTGAAGGTTCGAGGATCGATGTTTTGGAATCGAGGCTCATACGGGTTTGTCGCTTCTCGGCGTTCTTCCGGCCTCGGGATGTTTTCCAGCAGCTGCGCTTCGGCGAGAGCTTTCAAGGAGCGCCCAGATCGTCCCGAGCGGCCGCCAGATACCCGAGCTATGGTGCGGCGAAATGACAGCCTCGCGCCGTGAAGCAAATGACGACGGGCGATTTGCATCCCTTTTTCAAACCACTGGTCAGTACGGTTGCGGCTGAGCTCTGTCAGGTTAAACAACAATTGTCATTTGGGCCCCCGATGCCGTCACGAAGCGATTCCGCGTGAAAAGCCGGAGGTCGGCACGCCCGCAACGGGTGTGGAAGAACCGGGCACGGTGGCCAACAGCAAGTGCTGTCCAAAGCCGACAGCGCTGGTTGTTGCGCAGGCGAGCTTCTGTCTCAAGTGTCGGGGGCGGCCAAGAGGGGGGTGATGACTAGGGGGGGGATATCATGGCGGGGGCCATGACATCTCCCCAGATTCATGGCGCCTCTTCTCATTTCAATGCGTTCCCTGGCCCCCCTGGTCCGTGCACTTGCCTCGGGCCATGATTTACACCCCACCCTGTTGGACGCCCCCCTCTTGGACGCCCCTGCAAATGGAGAACGCCCGCGGCGGCACAGGCGACGAATTTGGTTCAACATGGGCAGCGCGACAGGCGCATGGGCACGGCCCCCATTCCATGCCTGATTCCTACAGACGCTCCGTGTAAACCCACCAAGCCATCCAGAAACGATGCCCAGGCGAGTTGGCCTTCTCCTCCTCCTCCTCGTCCTCCTCCTCCTCCTCCTCCTCGTGCTCCCCCTCCTCCTCCTCCTCCTCCTCCTCCTCTTCCTCCTCCTCCTGCTCCTCCTCCCCCTGTTCCTACTCCTCCTCCCAGAAACGATGCCCAGGCGAGTTGGCCTGATTGGAGGAGCATGCAGTGGAAGGATTGGCTGGAGAAGGCACGGACTCGGTTCGACGGAGTCTCGCTTCGCCGGGTCGGTTTGTCGTGGCTCGCTTCGCCGTGGCTCGATTCGCTGGGACTTGGCTCGCTCGACTCGATTCGCCCAGCTCGTTTCGGTGGGACTCGGTTCGCCAGGGCTCGGTTCGCCCGACTCGTTCATCAGGGCTCGTTTCGCAGGGGCTCGTTTCGCTGGGGCTCGCTTCGCCGGGGCTCGCTTCGCCGGGCGGGCGGACCCTGACGGGCCGGACGGGTCGGGCGGGCGGACCCGTAACGGTCGGATCGGGTCGGGCGGGTGGGACATTGAAGTATGATGCGTCATCGAGGTAGTAAGCGCGAAGCCTAACGAGCGGGTCGGGCCTGGCGGACCCTGACGGGCGAGTCGGGTTAGGCGGGCGGACCCGAACAGGCGGGTCGGCGGGCGAGCGGCCACCGCTTCGTAGAGGGCCCGAGCGGGGCGAACTTGATAACCTGGCGATTCGAGCCAGCCGAGGCGATCGGAGCCCGGACGAGCCGAGCCGGGCGAAACGAGCCGGGCGGATCGAGACTCGGGCGAATCGAGACTCGGGCGAGCCGAGCTTGGGCGAATCGAGCCTGGCGAATCGAGCAGTGGGCGAATCGCGCCGGGCGAGTCGAGCCGGACGAATCGAGCCGGCGCGAATCGGGCCGCGCGAAGCGAGCTCGGCGAATCGAGACTCGGGCGAATCGAGCCTAGGCCTACGCCCTGGGTCAAGGGCAACGATAGGGGGGGATAGGCATAGGGGGGGATGTATCGACCCCCAATCGCTCAGTGTTCTCCGAAAGAGGTCTGATAGTCCCAACCAGTCGAGGAAGGTGCGGATTCACTATTGGGGGCCTATCGCCGATCTATTGGCGATGTATCGCCGATTCCATGTAGATGCATCCCCCCTATGCCAGTCCCCCCCTAATGTTGTCCCGAGGAGGGCATTGGGAGTGAGTAGGAGGAGGGAGGAGGAGGAGGAGGAGGAGGAGGAGGAGGAGGAGGAGGAGGAGGAGGGGGAGAAGGAGGAGGAGGAGGAGGAGGAGGAGGAAGAGGATAATGACCAGTGTAAACCCCAGTTTCATCAACGATGTTACACCCCTCTCCAAGCTTCCTTTTCATAGGCCCCTATAGGGGTTCATTTTCACAGGGAAGTGGCCCGTTGCGGGACAACTGTGTGATAATCCTGAAGCGTGCCAAAACACCGTTCTCAGGACTTCAATGCCACGAGTTAGCCTGACTGGTACGTCCTGGCGATCCTGAATCGTGCCAGAACACCATTCAGGGGACTTCAACACCGCGAATCAACGTAACTGATGCGCCCCGACAATTCTGACATGCTTTAAAACATCATCTCTGGTACGTTTGCCATGAGAAGCAGTGACACTCTTGCAACTGCTTAAACGAAAGTGCACGGCGCTCAGGCGAGAGCCACATTTTGGACAGGAACCGCCCTCAGCCCGTGAAACTTTTGCGGCGGCGCTCAGAGGAGAAACAGATTTTGAAAGCCACCCGCCCTCCATCCGTGAAACCGTTGTAAATGTGTGAAACGAATGCGTGCGGCGCTAAGGCGAGAGCCACATTTTGAAAACCACCCGCCCTCCATTTGTTACTCTGTTGCCACTTTCTAAGCTTCAGGGTCATACGTTGTGAGAAAGTCTCAGGCGAAACGCACGACCCGCCCTTTCGACTGGCCCCGGCGAGCGACAGTGAGGAGTTATCTGTAAGGAAAAGGAATGGAGGAGAAGGAGGAGGAGGAGGAGGAGGAGGAGGAGGATGAGGAGAGGGAAGAAGGAGGAGGGGAGGAGGAGCAGGAGTTGGAGGACGAGCAGAAAGGCCAAAGAAATGACAGAGTGCCAGGGGGAGCAGGATTTGTCCGCCTCCGTCTGGCCGTAACGGTCTGGACCGCTACGGCTTCAAGCCTCGAAATTTCGTTTTGGGTGTGTAGGCGCATCCGTGAAACCGGGCCTTCTGCACACACAAACACAAACACAAACATAAACACACACAAACACACGCGCGCACGCGCACACGCACACGCGCACGCGCACGCACACGCACACGGGCACGCGCACGCGCACGCACACGCAAACGTGCACGCACACGCACACGCGCACGCGCACGCGCACGCACACGCTCACGCTCACGCGCACGCACACGCGCACCCACACGCACACGCACACGCGCACGCACACGCACACGCACACGCACACGCACACGCACGCACGCACACACACACACACACACACACACGCGCACACGCGCACACGCACACGCACACGCACACGCGCACACTCACACTCACACGCACACGCACGACACACACGCACGCGCACACGCACACGCACACGCACACGCACACGCACACGCACACACACAGGCAACCTCACAAACACACACGCACACGAACACACACACACACACGCAAACACTGGCCAGCACGCGATGGGCAGGGTTTGTCTGACGCTCGTGGCCGAGGGCATCGGATTCTTTGTGCAGAATCTCCCTGCACTGTGGACGCCTCTCCTCTCTTCCATGGTCTCTGCTCTTCCCATCGTCCTTCCTCTCTGATCCTTTGAACTAGCTGCTGCGCACCAGCGCAGCAATGCCATCGAGGGTAAGGCGAAGGTCTGGGGGGCAGATGGGGGGGCAACGGATGGGGCTCTGTAGAACAGAACCGACGGTTCTTCTTTTCGTCCGTACCGGCTTTGACCCCGTGTCGACTGGCGATGATTGGGCTCTTGTTGCGTTTGCTGCGACTTGCGCCGTTTGTGTTACCGAGTACCACAGAAAGGCCAGAGGCCTCTTGTATACCTCTCGGTGTCTCTTCGGATGTCTCTTGATCATTTCTTGGGTGCCTATTGGTGCGTCTTTGGGGCCTCTTGGCGGTCGCGGGGGCCTCGTGGAGCGTCTTGGGTGTCTCGGGGAAGTTTGTTGGGCGATTTGGGATTTTTTTGGGTCTCCAGGGCGCCTCTTGTGGCCCTTTTGGGGCACTCTTTGGAGCCCTGGGGGCCGTCTTGGAGCCACCATCTTGGAGGAGGTCGACCAAAGAAGGGGGGTCCTCAATTAGGACCCCCCTCCCCCAGGAGGCCAAAATTGTCGGTGATGTTTACCTTCTCGCCGAGGCCGCTCTGCGCGCTCCAACGGCCCGCCGCCCCCCCCCCCATCCAGGTCCGGGGTGGAGGGCGTCTTGGGGGAGGGGTGCACACTTCCCCGAGGGGGAAGAAGGGGGTTAGACGAGGAAACCCGCTAAACCCCTCGAGCCCTAAAGGCCTGGTGGGTTTTGTTTTCCGTCCAGTTCTTCCGTACCCATGTCGGTCTTACCGGGTAGGGGAGGGCGAGATGCGCGCGGATCCCCCCGCCCAGGTTCCTCGCCAGGTCCGAGTCGCGGTTCGGCGGCTACGGCCCCAGGGCGATCGGCCTGAGGCCCTCTCGTGCGGGGGGGCAGGGGGGTCCCTGACATCCACGAGCGCGACGACGACGAGCGCGACGAGAGCAACGCGAGCGAGGACGACGATGGCGCCCACGAGGTTGACGCAGACGACGAGGACGACCACGACGCCGACGAGGGCAACGACGACGTCGACGACGACGACGACGACGACGACGACGACGAGGAGGACCTTGCGTCGTCGTCGATGTCGTTCGAGGCTTTGGGATGTTTTCGTCGGTTCTCGGAGGTTTCGCAGCCTCGGGGTGCCTTCCTGCAGCTGGGCCTCGCCGAGAGCGTTCCGCGGGTGCCCGTCCCGAACGACCGTCAGAGTTCCTCTATAACCTGAGGACCAGACCCCTCGCTTGGTGAAAAAACACGACTGACGGTTTCTTGGTATCTTCGGCCGTTGGGGGCTTTCATCGGGCTCTGAGGCCGTCATAATACGGCTCGATGACACGAAAAGCCGGTCCCCAGGAAGGGGACCTTCGGGGGTCCATGTTCTCAGACAATTAGGTCGTGATTTTTTGGCGGCGTGGTTCCCCAGAGGTCTGGATCCATTCCGGGGGACGGGTTTCTCATTCAGGGCCCTTAGAGGCTGGAAATGGTAAGAAACGGTCCGCGGACGATACGTGTGCACCGTACCGCGTTGGCGCCTGTCGTGGCGTCCTCGGTCCTCGACCCAGGAATGGTACGGTGCAAAGTTTTTCGATCCCCAGAGACGACAGACCACGCGCCGTACCGCGTTGGAGCGGGGCGTGAACGGAGTCCCCACGCGGTACGGTGCATGGGCGCCGTTGTCGTAAACGGGGAATCCCCAGAGGTCTCCCCGGTGTCTCTTCATCCCGAGTTGTTTTTTGCCTTTCGCCAGAAACGTTACTTCGTGATACCATTGCGACGCGACCATGTACAGGCTGTAAAGATCGCGACGTGGGACGGCGTTTTGGTGGGGGATGCCGCCGCCGCGCAACTTCGCTCCGAGCCTCGCCTCGACGGCTTCGAGGCGTGGGCCCAGGAGCGAGGAGGACTTGTGATCGAGGTTGTTGGGGCGGATCGAGGTTTGTCGATCGACGAGGTAACGAGGAGGATCGAGGATCGAGGATCGAGCGACGGCTTCGAGGGTGGATGGGCCCAAGAACGAGGAGGCTTCTCGTCGCGTCCCCAGGCGTGTCGGTATGGAGGGTCGTGCGTGTCGCCATTTGTGATCCTGAGGCGTGGCCTGAAGTCTGCAACAGCTAAGATGGGTATTTCGCCTTAGCTTCACGGAGATGCGTCGTAAAACTCTGCAGCAGCATCAAGGACGGAGCACTGGTCGTTTTCAAACCGGGGCTCTCGCCTGAGCACTGCGCGCAGTCGCTTCGCTCGTTCTCCATATCTCACAACTAATTATAACACCACTTCTTCCACACGCCGCTCAGGCCAGCCCCCCCCCTCCTCCTCCTGCTCCTCCTCCTCCTGCTCCTCCTCCTCCTCCTTCTCCTCCTCCACCTCCGCATCCTCCTCCTCCTCCTCCTCC